TCGTCCGAAATTCTAGGTAATATAGGACACGACGTTTCGGAAACTGGATCTGTTTCCGTCTTCAGGTGAGAAAGGAAGGCACCTACTCAGTTGGGCCCCTTAGAAAGAGCTAATTTCAATCGCAATGAAGCTCTCTCTAAGGGGCCCAACTGAGTAAGTTTCTTCCTTTCTCACCTGAAGATGGAAACAGATCCAGTTTCCGAAACGTCGTGTCCTCTATTACCTAGAATTCCGGATGATGGAAAAGGTCCAAAAACCCAGTAATTCTGTGTGTCATCCACCATCGTCAGAAGCCTTTAGATATCTAGAGTTTCGGAACGAACTGTGAACTGGAACAGAACGGACGACATCGATATAAACAACAAACACGCGATAACACCAATATGTGAAAGGAAAGAATATAAATTGTAACTTTTTACTCTACCAGTAGTTCGCGTTATATAACATCGAATGTTGAGATACGTGTAAAAGTAAATAGCAGCAGCTGGGGAAGAAAGCGACCCTGACCTAATTTGAGGTACTATACTAATATTTGCCTGGAGGGACCAAGGAAAACCATGAAGAGTCTCAGTGTAGTGTAGTCACTGTATCGGCCAAGATTCTAAACCTCTTGAGCCACCTTGTTCTGTACATCACGTAATTATGTACCATTCACGGATTTTGTCTTCCATTCTGTTCAAATTCACAGTACAATGTGAATCCCAAGGTATTTGGTAGGACTCCTTCAGTGAAGAAAATATATTTTCACTTACACAGGACAACGTACAACGCAACACAGAACAAACACGGAGATACAACAATATTTTGAATAGTTATTCGAGCTCTCGAACAGTGTTCGAGAGGTTTACGACTGTGTAGCATTCTGGCGAATGGTATTAATTTTATGGACACAAATACAAACCCATAAACTAGGAGTACAGAGGTATGTGAACTTCAAGGTCAGGGCCATGCTCAATGGCAGAACAAACAGATTCTGTGAAATACAGTAATTCTTCACCAACAGTGGGCTTCAAGCATCCGCGGTTTTCCATTTGAATCAAATATTGTATTTAAGCATCTTGTTACATTGTTATAACATTCTCATAGAATATTTATATTACAGTTCCATCAACAGTGCAATATTTAATGATATTTTCTTATACGCTTATTTTGGTACGAGTTTTTCTTTTAAACACCTTTTGTTGAAATTGATATTAGCATTAGGGTGTAACAGTTTTCGCTTACAATTACATTGTTGATGGAATTGTAATATAAATATTCTATGTGAACTTGAATCAAATTTTACAAATTACGTTATCTGGTTCTTTATATCTGCTGAATTCGATTTATGTAGACACTTAAAAATTCTTATTTCCTCGTCGAGAGATCGACGTTGGGTCAGGGAAAGGTTGTAATCGTATCCGACGGAACCAGTTTTATAGTTTCCAGACTCCCACTCTGATATGGCTTTTATATTTCAGGCCTAGTGTTATTAGGCCTATAATTTTCTGTTTCATGAAAGAACTTCGGCACTGATGACTGTTAACAGCGGTCACAATTCCTGTAACTCCCAATTTCCTCTAAGAGTCTTGGGCTTGTGAACAACATTCTTACCAATAGTGGTGTGTTTTCGGTAACGTAACCCCCACTATTTAGAGAGAGATTCTTGAATGCGACATTTATATGTTTTCTTGGTCTTCAACATATTTGAATAATTTATAGTCAGGAAAGGCTTTCTGCTGAGGTTTTTTTATTGCTAGTGGGGTGGGACTAAGTCCCTTGTACTGCGGCCACTTCTCTACCAGCCCCAGATGATAGGTGAGGGTGACTGTGGAATGAAGATTGGCAGGGGAAACCGAAGTACTTGGAGAAAACCTGCCCCAGCGCCACTTTGTCCACCACAAATCCCACTTGACCAGACCAGGAATCGAACCAGGGCCGCCGCTGTGGGATGCCAGCGACTAACCGCTTGAGCTATGGCGCGGCCTTCTGCTGAGGTTAAAGGAACTTCCATTAGCATACAGCGTATATTACTAAATTTTCACTTGATAATAATTGTGGCAGACGAAGGGATTAATGAATAAAGCATTTGTAACTTCCACACTATAGGCCTCCAAGTCATAATCCTTGAATGAAGAAAATAAATACTACATGAACTAATTCACTAACTGAACTCTTATCTGATAAGAACGAAACCGGCCATTGCACTCCGTTCTACAGTGTTTAAAACAGGTTTCTATTCTGAAATGGCCACCTAGACCTTGGTTGACCAGAAAAAGTTTTCTACTAGATTCTGCTCCATTATTCTGTGTGCATTTATCGTCCCTGTGTGACTATTCCCAGTCCATCTTTATCCCAGTGTGTAATCATTCTAACAATATCCGAACTATAAATAGACATGTAATTCCAGGATGGAAAATATATCAGCTGACAGACTTAGGGACATATAGGGGGAAAGCCAATATAATTGTAATAAATCCTAAAAAAATAATAAAAACTAGCTACTGTAACAATTTATAGTGCCAAAAGTCGTGGTTCTTAGTTGTATCTTATTTTCTCTTTATGTATCTGTTTTCATTGTCATATTGTCATTTATTTACAGTTCCAAAAATATCCATAGAGGCATCTGCCTCAGATACAGAACAAGTCAATAATACAATATAACATAAATATACATACATACTCAGACATTCATCATCGTCAAAATACAACAAAACTACTGTACCATAATACATTCATAAGTCAAAATAACATTTAAAATTACATACATGATTAAAATATATACATGAGGTGTCACTCTTTCTTCCAGCAGTAGTATTCTTCAACAGTATAAAAAGAACTGGTGATAAGAAACTTCTTTAACGCCTTTAACATCTTTCAGATGTCATTATTGAATTTTAGCATTCTCACTTCACTGTCTTTGTGCAACTTTGTCCGTATATTAAAATTCACAATTTGAAGGCTCTTTGTCTCTTCTTATTTCTTATTTAACATGAAATGGTCTGGCTTAACAGGCCATCATCAGATGTATAAGACTTTAGATGAAAACTGCTGCTCTGTTGTTACAAATTTTTATTTTGCATGTTATATTTTAGATTATCATGCCATGGTTACTTCTGTTGTGGGTCTGGCACTGAAGTGCTAAAGTTGTGCTAAGAGTACTAGAATTGGAATGCATAGTACAACATGATGCTGGAATACAATATTCAGTATATATTATTTCTCTAATAGCTTCTCCATTAATTAACCTTAGATTTATATTTACTGAAATTATATTGCATATTCTGTTCATATTATCTGTAGAGGGTCACAATTTTATTTTAAATGAAAGACACTTATATAAAAATATCTGGAGTTATTTTACTATAATTACATGAGAGAATTACATTTAATGTTTGAGGAGATAGGTTATAAATGGTATGTGACAATTTTTCCTACACTTACAGCATAAAGGCTAGGTGATATCCATTAAAATTACATGTCATATATTTTATTCATTTATTTGCTTATTTGTAGTTTATTTAACAATGTTGTCAGTAACTTAGATTATACAGAATAAAATAATTGGATGATAGTTGATAATGAGTTGAAAAATATGTGTAATAAACCATTCATGGTCTAATTTAAGCTATACTCCCAGAACTTGCTTGGATGAACTAAGCAAAACCACAGGAAACTTCAGTCAGGATAGTTCATATTCTTGGCATTATTCAAACAAGGCACCTCACAAATATAAATATAAACCACCTGAACCAAGTTGTTACATAAATTTCGTTCTTAGATGTATGAATAAATGCAGTGGAGTATGTTGTACTTTTTTGTTAAACTTCACTTCTAAATGGATACGCTTTGATGCAAAGTAAATATAAATATAGTGTTACAGAATCAGAAGTAAAACTTATCACATACTATCTGCTTACTTTTTTCTTTGCTGTGTTTCACAAGGGTCAGAAATAGTAGTGGAAGTAGTGGAATGTCAGCTGCTGTAACAAAGAATTTGATGATTGCATATTGTTCCTATGTAGCATTCACAGCAATAAGGCTGTCTCAACACAGCTGCATCAAGTGACCTTAACATTGTGGCTGACAGCAAAGAGAAATTGATAGCGCATTAGAAAAAATAAGAACATTGAAATAGTATGTGGCATAGGTGCCACCTGGTGAGAAAACATTTGCAATGACATATTAACTTTCTGTAATTCACCTCATATATCAAATTATACAAACATAATGAGAAAGGAAGATAAGGATTTTGTGAGTTAAACACAAAATTATTTCTTTAGACAGACACATAAATATGATGTTTGATGTTAAAGAGAAATCTATAATATACCAGAGACCAAAAAATTATGTCATGAGCTTGTTCCTGTGCTATAATGTTCCATCATAAGGAAAAATAAACGGGATATCACAAGTCACACCAATATATCTGATATAGTCAATATAAAGTAAGAGAATGCATTTACAGACAAACAGCAAACTACCCAGTGATCCATGTCTTGCATCTGAATGATTGTTTGTAATGAGACATCTCTGTCTTTGTGAGGGTTATAAAACACATCTCACAATTGTACAAGTACAGTATATACCATTTATGGTATTTCTGTTGAAATATGTCATCAGTGTTTTAGTGCTGCATGTCACAATCTTTGTAAAGAGAAGAAAACATTATTTTTGTTTTATCACTTACATTGGTTTCATGAAAACTGAAAAATAACAGGTAAAATATACTGAGCCAGATTTTTAAGTTTTGGAAAACATGGGAGAAACAAGACAAATATGGTGCCAGCAGTCAAGTGGTTAATATTAATAAACTATATAGAACACTGGCCTCCAGAATTGTAAAATTGTAAAGGTACAAAACCTGGCAGGGATGGAGAAAGGAACAATCAGAATTCATTGTCTTTATTTGGAAGGATTGAAGAAATTAATCCTAGTCAGACACCAGGTGCCAGTGGTGTTCTCAATGTGAGACATACTCAACAAGCAAAAGTTGTTATTTACACAATTGTTTCCCACAGTTCTGGACCGAATTAGAAACAGTTACAGAGAATGGAAGCTTGTCCACTTTCTGCAGAACCTGATTCCAATAATTCAGTGGCTGCCTCACTACAAGTGGCGTCATGACTTTATTGGTGATCTTATTGCTGGTATCACCGTTGCTGTGATGCACATCCCTCAGGGTAAGAGATACATTCAACACTACATTACTTATGTCATTTTAATGCAAGTCCCCTTCTTAAAGTTAATACAATCTCAGGTTTATTATTAAATCTGTTGCAAATTCTCCTTTCTATAATTGTTAGTTACTATTTCCTGAAAACACTCAGTCTGTTTACAGTAAAGGGCGTGGTTTGGCCATACTTTGGCCATATTTCCTTGATCATGTAAGCATCTTTTAATCCCTTTATGAGCAGATGGTAACCTCTAATGTCTACTGCCTTTTCTGCTTTATTACATGTCAATTATTTAAAAGCATTTAATTAATTAGTTTGCTCACATCATGGTGTGACAAAATTGAATTGAATGGCAGTATTAAGAATCATCAGTTCTGTTTGAAATATAAGATTTTCCCAAAGAAGTGTAATTTTCTGATCATTGTAAAATGTTTGCAGGAATGGCATATGCACTTCTTGGAACTGTCCCACCCATTGTTGGCATTTATATGGCCTTCTTCCCTATCTTAGCATATTCTGTGCTTGGTACATCTAGGCACAATTCCATGGGTAAGTTAAGACTTAAATTTTCATGTTATTGTCAATCCCTAATAAGTCTGTGAGATGGACCAACCAACTAGAAGAGACACATAGCACATGAAACACAGAAAATCCAATACAGAGTCATAAAGGAGAATTATGATGAAGAAAGCAGTCTTCATGATAGTCTAATGCACTCCAGAGTTGCTGTATGGAGAAGCAAATACGTAACTATTAACACTATTTCTAGTATTGGATTTATGGAAATAAAGACGACTACTACTACTACTACTACTACTACCACCACCACTACCATCACCACTACTACTACTAACTACTACTACTACCACCACTGCCACCACCACCACTACTACTACTACTACTACTATTACAGTCTTCTGGGATATGGTAGTATACAATTTGATACACAGGTACAAATTCTCTTTAGAATTCTCTTTCAATGAGGTCCTTCCAATTGGCACAGTAATTCTGAATAATTTTAGAAACTGGTTAAACTTTCAAGTTTCTTAAATTCTTTTGTGGTCCAGAAGTGTAAATCCAACAATTTTCCTCATAAATTTAATCTCTGCTGCTTGCAGCCTTTATAGTTGACCAGGCTTCACTTCCATGTGTTAGTACTGGTCGTGCTAGAGTCCCGTAAATGTTTAATCTTGTATGTTGTTGTACTTGTACTAAGGACTCCAGTTATTTTTACAAACTTTAATATTTTTAAGGGCCTATCTCTAAAATATCAACATTTGGTATACAGGTAAAAAGGTTCCCTCAAAGTTCCGTTATACATCTATCATATTACACGGCCTGATATCTGAGGATATTGAAATCTTAATACTGACTGTGAAAACCTTAAATATCAGGGACTTGACTAATTCACATTGGAGTGGAACCTCTCTTCATGGCCCAAATGTCTCGTTATGTAACATACTAACAACTGATTCATAAATGATTATTTAATATAAACTATTTTTTAACATTTTTTTGCATTAATGTTACAGTAACTTTATAAATGATGTGCCTACTGTACTTAGTAACACAAAAACACACACACACACACATATATATATATATATATATATTTCACTTACTAGCTGGAGCAAACTATGTCATCAAATCTTCATTACTGACTTAAAACTTAGGTTAGCTACTGTCTTAAAGTATATTTCTTTTTAAAATTATTGCAAACTAATATGTATTTTGAATGAAATCTAATTTTATGTTTGCTAAATTATATCTCCACTCCTTCATACATCATCATTGCACGGTATTTCATTAATTATGAACTGGAATAAATTCACCTTTCTCAAATGAAGGCTGTGTCTTTCTAGTAGCATGTGAAACAAAAATACAAGGACTATTCAGAGAGTAACCTCCATTTAATTTAGGCAACTAATATAGGAGTGGGGGGACAGCTTGCCCACATGAGGTGGCATCACATGACCCAATTCTTTTGTAAACCATCATATAATTGGTCACACCTAGTGTTTGTTCTTGTCTCTATATAGAGTGTTATGGTGTGTCCTGTGATTGATAATCCTGCCAATTGCGAAATTCGCACTGTTACCCGCTGTCTTCAGTCCAAAAACACAAACAATTCGGGAATGTATCGTGAATTATGCGCAGTTTACGGCCAAAACGTAATGAGTGAAGGATCAATAATACAATGGTGTAAAATGTTCAAAGATAAGTGGGCAAACAAATGTTCACACTGAAGAGTGGAATGGTCAGCCAGCCATGTACAGTGAGTGATGAGCTTGTTCAAAATGCTGACCAAAAAAAAAAATAAATTGTGAAAGCTGGAACTTCATGACTTCAGAACTTTTGTGTAAATTTCCACAAATTTCACGCACTCTTCTCTATGAGATTTTCACAGTTAGGCTTCGCTATCAACACAAGTTTGGAGCAAGATGGGTTCCAAAAATGTTCACGAGTGCTCACAAAATGCAGAGAATGGCTTCACTTTTGACTTTTAAAGTAATGCCACAAATATGGCAATGAACAACAACAAAAAGAGTATACGTAAGAGTTATGCCCAAACTCATTCACGAACCAGTACTTTTATTGCAGATTCTGCAGATTAATGTGTTAAAAATATATAGTAAAATTCGATGTACATACCTTTTTTGTTGTTATCTGCTTGATGTTTATATAGGTTGAAATGAAACTACAGAATTCGATTTCACTATGAACACACAGAAAACAGATGACACTCTGTATCTAAGCCACGATGCAACTGTCTGTTCACACCCATAGAAAGGGCAATAATCTCTTACAGCTATAATGGAAGGTCTTAGCACTGAAGAAGGGACCCCTCTAGCTATCTCTTGAGTAGCCATGATTTCATTCTTCTGTCCTATAGTCAAAAGATTAAAAAATCCGAAGAGTGTAGGCAGTGCTAGCAGAAGACCAAATGATTTTATTGCTTCCATCTGTTTTATGGCACCAGGGACTGTTAAATTTGTCAAGTGTTACAAAAAGAAATAAATTTATAATGCAGAACAACTCTGTGAGAACTAGGAAACCATTTCTGCAGTACACATCAAAATTATATAAATTTTCAAATCTTCCGTTATAATATGCGACACTATGTACTTTGCTGATACAAACAAAGTTGATTCCATCCATTTATCATAGAAATTGAGTTAGATACAGTATTTTTAAACACAATGCTTAAAATTGTTTAAGCGCCCTAACAGGAACGGACATTTAAATGCAGAGCAGCAACAGACAATTAAGCGCACACCAACAGAGGCATTTAAATAAACTCCAACCAGCTCAAGCTTACCACCATTTCAGAAGTCCGGCATTTAAATGTTAATCAAGCACTGAGACAACATTACCTTACCCTAGATCAAACAGCAAAGATCTAAATGTAGGCCTCCATCATTTTGGCTGCAGTAATGAAGATAGCCTTGAAACTATTACTATTGCTAGGGCTGCTGCTGTGACTATTACTACTACTATTACCACCACGACTGCTATATTATGAGTATTACTGCTATGCAGTAGTATAGTTGGTTGAGGCACTATGCTACAAGCTGAAAGGTCACGGTTTCGAGTCCCGATGAGGTCACTGGATTTTTCAAATTCAATTGACCTAATCTTTGAACTATGGCCCTGGAGTTGACTCAGCCTCTAACAGAAATGAGTACCCGAAATCTTCCTGCAAGGTAAAGGACAGCTAGCACATAAGGCTGACAACCCCACTGCCATCTGTGAGCCAACTGTCTAGAAAATGTGACAGCCTCAACCTCTCACAACTCTATGGGCCTCCACATCCTTTTATAGGGATAGCTTCACCTTCTTTACTTTTCGCTACTACCACCACAACCACCAGAACCACCACCACCACCATCACCACCACCATTGATACTGCAATTATTACAATCATCATCACTATTACTGCTACTAATACTACTACCACAACAACTACTACTACCACTACTATCACTGTTGCTCTTTTTGTTGCTACTATTCCCATAACTAAATAATACTGGAAAAGCACCAAGATTAGAGCTCAGTAACTGAGAAGTGAAATCTACAAAAACACAACAGTTCTACTTATCGTAGGTGTAAGTACTTTTAAAATTTTCAAACGAACAGAGATAAATGTAAAGCTATTCTGTGGTTAAGTATGCACCACATTATGCTATGGTAAAGTGGAGGAATAGCACCACTCATTCTTGACCTCGGCACTAAGCAGGAGTCATTGCCAGTTCCAAGATACTTGTGCTCTGTCTCAAGAGAAATAGCCTTTCATGCCCACCAGATAAGAATTTTGGTGGTGTCTCAGAGGCAGTCTGTGTATGGTGGCATAGAGAAAGATCCCAGTGGATCCCATCGATTTGTAATTCAGGGTAAGGTAGAATTCATTTGGAGGAACTGAGGTGGGCCATAAAACTCTTGCTAGCATCAAATTAACATTCAGAAAATTTATATCTGTACATATACAGACATTTATAGAGATCAGAACTTTAAATAAAATGTTTTTTACAAAATATCTGTCCCAAAAGCAGATGTAGTAATCTCTTTTGGACCTTCAGTTGTCAGTGGTGGGATGTCTTGTAACTGTTTTCATCTGTGTATGGTTTGGATGAGATATCCTGCAGAGATACACGAATAACTCGTTCTGTCTGCAGAACTTCTGTTGAAGTATGTGGTCAAGCATTCAAGTGTCACATATCAAAATCTCCATAAATAGGCAAGGAATTTTCTGCTTGTTTTCTGCTTGCGTGTCTTCCCTAGTAACTCAAAAAGAGTGTGCAAAGTGTAAAAATGCCACACATTTTAGGTTTAATTTATCACATTCACTTTCTTTTTGTTGAGAAATCAGTCAAGTGGTTAAATTCCAGTCACTAACATGGTGTAATTTGAAAGTGTGATTGGATTGAGTGATGCATAAATGGGTTGTGCATCTTGTACAGAAGGATTTTCTGATGCAGGGACATTCGCTGTAGTCTGCCTAATGACAGGAAAGTCAGTAGCAGCTTACAGTACTCAAGCAGCAGAAGGAAATACAACCAATGCAGAAAATGCCATCTACAGCCCCATGGAAGTTGCTACAGCTGTTGCCTTCATGGTTGGAATATATCAGGTACTGTAATTGTTCTCCCACAACTTTGAATTTTTGTTAATGGCAGAATAATTTTAGACAAAGACTGGGAATGAATGTATAAGGAAGTGTTACAGCCCATCTCTTAAGGTAGGCCTACTATCCCATTATTTGCCTAGAGGGAACAAGAAAGACTGTTGTAAATTTCTGTCAGGAAAGCTAACACTTTATCCAGGAGTACCATAATACATGAAAGGTAAATTTATATTTTGGATTTTTCCCCTTTAAATACACTTCCAGATTCATATAATCAGAATTCAGAAGAAGGGTGCAAGCTCAGTATATCAGTGTGATTATTTCAGGGTGTCATTGGTCCCCTTAAGTCAAAGAGAAACTTTGATGTAGAATATTTACCAGCAGTTCCACTTCCGATTTTATTCTTCACAACTTCTTCCTCCTGATTTCTGATATCATAAACACATTACATTATATTCATAATGCAGGAACTGAGTATGTAAACCAGCAGTAAGCATCTGGCTTGTTCCTGGATATAACTGTTTCCAGTCTTGGCCAAGGAACTGATATTATAAACAAAATTTGTTCTAAAGAAAGCAGTCTTCTGGGATGTGGAGCCATGTAGATGTGGTGTTAATTGACAGCGCCACATCCCAGAAGACTGCTTTCTTCATAGTCACCGCCATGAAGACCTCAAATCTTACAAAATCTGTTATAGTTTTCCTCAGTCACTCCATAAGAATGAAGGGATAAATGTGAGGGTTTCGAATTCATTCTTCAGTGTTGTTTTCAAATTTAATTTTATGTTAAATAATTACAACAGTTCATGGGTCCTATTACAATGCAAAACCACCTTTCTGACATGTCAGTTCTACCAATTCTCGTACAGTCATTAAAAAGCCAAAATTCATAGTTCAAATATTACAAACTGAAAGATGTGAACACTACATAAATAGAATATTACAATCAATAAGTAAATTAAAGCCACTGCACTGTCTTCACTTTGCCAGTCATGTTAAATATGAGATACTTTTATAAATGGCAAAACAATTTCTCTGCCTTGTCAAATGGTTAAAGTATGAAATCATAACTTTCACAAATATGCATAATTTCAGTTACATTCATATTTAGATGTCTACTGAATGGGACAAAAGGCGAGGTGACCATGTGCTTAATAACCAGATGCAATGAATTTGGTGTGTGAGGATATGTCCGCACACATTTTTCATCCCACCGCTAGATGGAGGTGAGTGGTTAGCTTCATGCTCTAACCACATTTTATTGCATTGTGGTCACATGGGAAGGACGATAGTTGCCCCAGGCACTCAGAATTTTAGTGCATCTATTGTGTGCCCTTGGGCCCTTCAAGAGTCCTGCCCATAATGGTAGAGCAAGAACCATCCAGACTAAGTCCTCCAAATATCCAGTGGTTCTGCACATGAAAAACCAAAGATCTGCATTCAAGCCGAGCCAGTGATGGACACTGACAGAGAGTACTGTTTCTTGGATAACTGTAGGCAGGATAATTTCAGCTGACTGCTTTCATTTAGTAACAGAGATAGCAGAGCCTTCATCACTGGTCTCAGCTAGACCAGCAATTAATGTCCTGTCAAGCCCTTAGTTTCCTTGTGTGCAGCCTTCCTCTTCCTGTCCCATTTCCTCTCCTACTCAGTCCATTTGTTCATCCAAATCAAGCAAAATGTTTCAGTCTCAACATCAACAGATCCGCATCAGAGCCCCTGAGAGATCTGGTTACATCTTTGCAGTAGAAGAGGACCCAGCAAAGAAGCCCTCTAATTCAGGGGGGAGGATGTTCTCTTGGACTATTGATGGAAGGGTGTCTCTAGCTGCGCCCCATCGTTTACCAACATGAACTCCAGCCAAGCCCTCAGTTCCTTTGACAGCATTGTTCTCCATGGCTTGCTTCATCTGATCAGACCAATTTTTCTACTTGACATTCAGGGTGCACAGCCCACCAAGAAACCTCTTTCAGCCTCACCATCAATGTACCCATTATCACAACTCCTGAAAGGTTTGACCCTCCCTCCACAGTAGTGGCAGTAGAAGACCCAGCAGTTGGGCCAAAGGGATTTCAGTCTCATCCATAAAAGACCATTCACCAGAGATTCTGAAAGATCTTGACTGCCCCCCCCCCTCCATTGCAGTACCATCAAATGCTTGGAGAATACACTCTCACCCCCTTCGGTACCCTCACATGAGCACCTGAGAATTTCATACTGGCCCCAGAGAAGCATAAAAAACAGCAACTTGGCCCTCCAATGCAGGGAGAGTATTTCCTTTCTTGGCACTACAGATGGAGATGGAGGGATATCTCCACCCATCCTCTGTCATTTACTGACAGTGACAACAGAGCTCCCATCACTGGTTCCAGAAGAGCTCTAGATCTCATAGAGAGTTTTCAGTCTCACTCTTAACGGCCTCTTGTTAGACCCCTTGAGAGATTTTTGCTCTACTTCACAGCAGGAGAAGACTCAGCAGCTAAGCCCTCCAACGTAGACAGGAGATATAGGGCTCTTGTCTGACCACAACTGAGCCAGAAGACTGAATTGGCAGAATGTGAGTGAAAGGCTAGATACCATGGGAGTTTGCCTTATATCCCATGAGCATCATTCACTACACTGCTCTCTCAGCATCACACAGGCATCAGTATGCTATCTCACACACTATCTTAGAGCATCAATATTGTCAATCAGTCATTCTATTCCACTTTGTGTGACCACGACTGGAGTTGGGTAGGATGACTTAGTGGCCTCTCTGACCACCTTAACCCAGTGTCAATTGGATACGAGACTGGGTGAACCCCAGAGCCACCATGAAGTTGGTGAAACACGAAAGTTTCTGATCTGGCCAGAAACTGAAACCTGGTTGGCCCTCCCAAACTTTGATTTTCAATAAGAACAATTACATATTTCTTTTACTGTTAAAACAGCTGAGTAAAGACTATTAGTATAATAGCAGAATAGTAGATAGTAGATAGTAAGAGCAGAAGAAAGTTACTGTTGGTTCCAGAAGACCTGATTCTACTATATAGCAAGTTTTGCAAGCTCTTTTTGCAGTTTAAATTTTAATTTTGTAACATGAATACGATTTGCTATTTCATCTACATGATGCATAGTTTAGTTATTTGCTAAACTATAAATGCTGTGTTCTGGTATGAACTAATTGCTTAGTTCCCTTTGATACAATATGGATTGCATAGAAAAGGACATCTCCAACAATTCTTTGTTGCTGCAGGAAAGTGTATACCTAGCCATCACCTAGCAACAACAATGGGATAGAGAGTCCAGTACAGTCCAGAAAATTGTTGCTGACCCTCAGTAGCACAGTGATTCTTGGTTCGAAGATCCACAGGAATCATAACCATATTTGACTCTCTGATGGCTCTGGGAGCCTTTAGACTACAACTTCAGCAGTATATGTAGTAAAATTGGGGATACACAGACAGATCCACAGATTCTCCTTCAATGGAACACAGGGTATAGAAAAGGTGTCCAACAATTCTTCTGTTGTTGGGTGTATTATGAAATATTCCACTGAGATGTGCTCAGGTGCCATGATATTGTGATGCATAGACCCAGTGTTAGTCAATGAGTGATACACATGGCCAACAATACAGTAGCAGTTTTTCTGTGGTCCCCGCATGGACCGTTGCTATGGAGCACATGCAGCTTAAGTGTGTGTGGTGTCATCACACAACAATAGAAGAAGTGATGCAGACAGGTGTTTCCTGTAGATCCACACCAAGGATGTTTTCTGTGCTGCTGGTCTATGCCAGGAAGACAGTTTGATGGAACAAGGGAGTACAATGGAGTACAACAGAGAAGGAGAACTGAGGTCAGTTTCCAGTAGGAAATAGTCATGAGAATTTAGTAGCTGAAAAAAGTCAGCCTCTGAAGATTAAATGTGTGAGTAGAAGATGTAGTCACAGTGACTGTTTTAATTACATTACCAGGATACATCTACTGAAGACTGGGACTCCTAGTGTGTGTGTCTGTATAACGGTGAACTGTAAATTGTGTAAATACGCAATAGCGCTGTGTTGCTTGTAAGTATGAGTTGACTGTATGAGGTGTTAAGAAATTTATTCACCAATCCAAACCCCATATACAGTCATTATTACACATGACAATATATACAGATATCAAGTTTCATGAAGATTGGTCCAGGCATTCAAATGTTAATAGTGGGTGATACACAGTTATACAGAGAGCAATGAGATTTCAAAAGCCTACTTTTATTTTTATAAAAAAGGAAAGTAGGCTAAAAGTGATGTTGGTGATTGTCAGCAGTCATTGTAATAGAATTAACTATATGGAAGAGATCCCTTCTGAGAAGCTAATTGTCACTATGCTAGTCAAGAAATCTCCACTCTTTTGTGACCCTGAAGGTTCATTAACATGTTCATAACAGCCTGCAGCAGGACCCTATACTGAGGCCGATGAATCTGATCCACATTTTCACATCTATTTCTTTGAGACCTATAGCATTCAAAGAAAGCTACAAAAGGGTACATAAAGTGTGAATACAAGGAAATTGTGTTTACTTGTTGGACATATATTCCAGTTATTTTAGTCAGAATCACACCTAGAAGGTGCAGATTGGTAATAGGGAATCTTAGTATATTTGTACAAGATTTGCCTAGGTAAGAAAAATTGGATCAATAAATCAATTTTTGACTGCACAACTGAGAAACTGGCTACTCCTAACAAATACACATTTACCCTATCTCCCATCCCATCCTTCCATATTGTGTTTCATTTACGTCCTTAGACGGTAAAGCAATTCTTCTACCCTGAATACGGAGAAAGCAGATGCATTTGAAACACAGATGATGACCCATATGTTTACAGAATATCAGTCCAGAAGACTCATGATCACAGCCTTAAGAGAATAATAGCTCAGATACAAATAATCACATGTTTTCTAACTGTTAACAGCTGCTAATGTATGTATTCCGAATGGGTATTGTGTGTACACTGCTGTCTGACACTCTGGTGAATGGTTTTACAACTGGTGCCGCAATTCACGTTTTAACATCTCAAGTCAAAGACTTACTTGGATTGAAAATTACAAGATATGAGGGACCATTCAACATAGGATTTGTAAGTATTAAACAGCATACACACAACTGACTACAGATAAATAGCTTTCGCCATTAATTCATCTGATAAGATAACACATTTGGAGTCAGGAGTTTGAACTTTCTGTGGAACTTATCTCCCTTTATACCTTCAACAAAAACTGACAAAAGTTGGTAATGGTAAGCAACTTCTAAAATACCTACAAAAATTAAGTAAGATAAACTAAAAAGGTAAATTTATCACTGGGCTTAATTAATTAAGCACCACCCCATGAAGATGTCTGGGGGACTTAACCTTGGCACAAGAGGTGAGCGGTTAGCTTCAAGCTGCTGCTACTTTACACCCAGGGAAACACCTCCTGGTACCCACTGTAATGAAGGCTGGTTTGACTCCAGAGCTGGTCTGCATGTTACAGAGAAGACAGTCAAGATGTTATGAAGTCCACTAACTTTCGTTACATAAATGTGGTAAAATAATTGATATTTGTTAACTGCACTCCATACCAACAAGCAGTGGTTCAAGAAACCCCAGTCTGATGAAATGAAGACACCATTTGCTTTCAACAAACTTCAAACAGAACTAGAAACGTTATCCAAAATATGCAGAACTTTGGTGCACCCATAACAACTTGAGGAGGAGAGACTAGATACATAAACAATGTGTTTCTCTATTAACTAGTAACTTGAAATTGCTCCAGATTTTTTAGATGTAAGGTTCAAAATTTTAATACTGTTTGTTTAATGTTGTATCACTTAGATAAACAAAGAAAGCTCTCAGTTCTAATTTGTACATGTATATGATAAGTGCTGGATAAACAGCACTTCAGTTTTCATTATACTTTAAAATCTGATTATTGTATTTTAATATGTATCATAAACCTAACAGCTTAGCAGCACAATTTCACGAAACTAGCATGGTGGAATGTACAAAACACGAAATATGCCCTCCCAAATCTTCAGTCAATAGAGTTTCTTGTATTTTCTCTGAAAAGCATTTGTATCAGTATGTTCAACATGCCAGAAGATGTTAAATTATTAATGGAAGATGTCTCCTTTCAGGCTTACATTGAGATATTCAACAAAATTGAGGAAGTTAATACAGCTGCTTTAGTTGTGTCTTCCATAACAATTATTGTGCTGGCCATTAACAATGAGATCCTGAAGGTAAGTGCACAGGAGGGTTTCTCCATGCATGTGCATGAATCAGGGCAGCCATCAACACTGTGGATTATTTCAGTCTCATAAAGTGGATAGACAGATTTTCATTAGTTAAAGAAATGAGCCACCCAGCCCTTAAAGATGGAAAGGCACTCCAAGATGAAGAAAAAATTTAAACTGCAAAATCACTTATATATCTACATAAACTATACAAAATTAAAATAAGTAAATATTTGTTTCCATCTTACATGATTTGACTCTCTGTCTCCCTTTTCAGGGGTGTTGAACAATAGTAAACAAACTACTAAAACTGTTACATTAAATTTTGCACCTTACAAAATACAAATATATTTATACACATTTAAATACTGTAATTCTCACAGTAAAATCCTATTCATAAGAATTCTAATGTGTTTTAAATTATTTTCATTTTCAACTTACACATGTGTCTGTTAGTTGTCCAACTTGCTAACTTGGTAATATAAAATCTTAAAATGAACGAAAAAACAGTTTTCTACTCAGTCTGGAAACATATTTCATTTCTGGTGACTTCTGAGAACCTACACAACTACCAGATACTAACATCAAATCCTCAAGAACAAACTCCATGCTGTTGAGTTCTTGAGTCCTTCTTGAGAAGCAATTAGTTACTAAGGCACTAAAGGATTTTCCAGTTTTTCAGGGAATTCAAAGTTCATTACTTTCCTTAAAAGAGCCCACCACTCGTCCATATCCCGAGCCAGATTAATCCAGTCCATATCACCACATCCTATTTCACTAAGCACCATTTGAATATTATCCTCCCACCCATGTTTAAGTCTTCTTAGTCATCTCTTCTTCTCTGGCTTTCCCTCCAATATCCTATATGCAGTCCTCTTCTCCCCCATTCATGAAAGATGAGAATGGCGATCAGCTTGCAGATTCCCACAACACTTTGAATGGGTGGAAGAACTATGAGTATTTCTATCAGTTATTGAATCTACATAGATTCAGTGATGTTAGCAGATAGAAATATGTACAGCTGAGCCATTAGTATCTGATCCTAGCTGGTTTGAGGTTGAAATTGCTATTGCAAAATTGAAAAGGTATAAATTGCCAGGTAGTAATCAAATTTTGGCAGAACTTATTCAAGCAGGAGGTGAAATATTACGTTCTAAGATCATACACTAATTACTTCTATTTGGCATAAGGAAAAATTGCCTATCAGTGGAAGGAGTCTATTATTGTACCACTTCACATGAAGGGTGATAAAACTGAGTGTAGAAATTATTGTAGGATATCACTGCTATCAACTTCATACAACATTTTATCCAATATTCTTCTCTCAAGGTTAAGTCCATATATACTCAGGGAGCTGAACCCTTCTTGAGAACCTTCCAATTGTGCAGCTACGATTAAATTATTGTGAATCATCAGTGTCGGTTCAACAAAATAGATCAACTACTGACCAGATATTTTGCATTTGTCAGATACTGGAGAAAAAATGGGAGTATAATGAGACAATATATCAGCTATTCGATGACTTCAAGAAAGCCTATGATTCAGTTGGGAGGGAAGTATTGTACAATATTCTAATAGAGTTTGGGATACCAATGAAACTAGTTAGGTTGATTAAAATGTGTTTAAACGAAACGTATAGTAAAGTCCGTGTAGGTAAATATTTGTCTGATAAATTTCCTATCCAGAATAATTTAAAACAAGGAGATGCTTTATCGCCATTCCTTTCCAACTTTGATTTAGAATATGCCATTAGGAAGTCCCAGGAAATCCAGGTGGAACTAAAATTAAATGGGTCACATCAGTTGCTGGTCTATGCTGATGATATGAATAGATAGATACATAGATACCATAAAGAAAAACAAAGGAACCTTAATTGATGCTAGTAAGGAGGTTGGTCTAGAAGTAAACACAGAGAAATCCAAGTATATGAGTATGCTGCTGTCTCATCATCAGAATGAAGGGCAATATCACGACATAAAGATAGCTAATATTTGTTTGAAGATATAGCACAGTTCTGATATTTGGGAATGACAGTAACAAATCAAAACTTGATTTAGGAGGAAAGACTGAATTTGGGTACAGCTTGCTACCATTCAGTCTAGAATCTTATGTCTTCTCATCTGCAGTCTAAAAAATAAAAATTAGAATATTCAAAATTACAATTTTTCCTGTGGTTCTGTATGGGTGTGAAACTTGATTTCTGACATTAAGGGAAGTATATGGTTGGAGGATGTTTGAGACAAGGTGCTGAGGAGAGTATTTGGACCAAAGAGAGATGAACTGATGGGAGATTGGAGAAAACTGCTTAATGAGGAGCCTCATAACTTGAACTTTTTGCCAAATTTAATTAGAATGATAAAGTTAAAAGGCAGGGCATGTAGCATAAATGGGGAGAAGAGGAATGCATACAGGATATTGGTGGGGAAGCCAGAAGGATAGAGACCACGAGGAAGACCAAGATGTAGGTGGGTGGATAATATTAAAATGGATTTTAGAGAGAGAGTTTGGGGTGGTATGGACTGCATCAATCTGGATCAGAATAGGGACCAGTGGAGGGCTCTTGTGAACACTGTGATGAACCTTTGGGTTCCATAAAATGCTGGGATGTTCTTGAGTAGCTGCACAATTGGCGGCTTCTCAAGGAGGGCTCAGCACCATGAAGTTAGTTATATTCGTACATGTTTCTAACGTTCTTGTTCTTACTGTTTGTTGCAAGCTCATCAGTTTTGTCTTTCAGATATTCCCTCTTTTTATTCCTCAAATGCTCCCTGGTTTCGTGTCTTATAATGTTCAGATTATCCCCATTTATTTGGCTTGCATCCTGTAAACATTGCAATGTGGCTTGTTTCCTTTGACCTAATAATTCTGAGCATCCTTCATTGAACCACGGCTTACGCTTCTTCAATTCATAATAACCTAGATATTCTTTGGCTGAAATTTTTATACTCTAATAGTTTCCCAAGCTCTATTAATATCCACCTCAGTGTCTAAGTTTTCCAAAGCTGCGAACCTATTTGAGATTTTTAATTGATGCCACTATTTACCTTCTACCTCATATAGATTATTGAGATCGAATCGCTCCATACTTGCATTGTTCATTTACTCACTGCCAGTCTCTCTCTAAATTATGACACCACAAGACAGTGATCAGTACCACAGTCTGCTCCCCTGAAATACTCTGCATCACACACACTTGAATGCCATCTCCTGTCTATCAAAATATGGCCTATCTGAATGCATGTCTTTCCATCAGGAGATGTTCAATTAAATTTATGAGTGTTACAATGAGGTAACATTTTAGTCTTGACAATTAGATTTTTGGATGTGTCAAAGTTTACTATTCTAACTCCATTATCATTAATAAATTTGTGTAAACTCTCATTCCCACTCATTGGTTTGAAAATATCCTCCTTACCCACTTTGATGTCAAATTATAAAAATTTGTACACATTTTCGGTTATGATAATGAAGTATTTTATGGTATCATGTACACAATCTTAGTACACTGAGCCCTTCATGAGAACAATGGGATATATCACTGCCAGTCTACCTCTATATTGATACTGTCAATGAAGTCCTATGTTCAGGGTTCTTCCTGAGAAAGTGACATTCATGCAACTCTTCAAGAAATTCCCTCCCCTTTATGGAACCTAAAGGTTCATTACTATGATCACAGGGGCCCACCACAGGACCAAAAAAAAAGTTACTTATCTAGCTGGATCCAACCTGCACCAACTTACTTTATTCCTTCAGGATAACTTTTAATATTAATTTCCAAGACATTCATTTGAACTCTTCCCTTCAGGGTTCTTGACTAAAGTTCTGTATGAATTTCTCATTTTCTCATGCATGCTGTATGTCCCATTCATATCAAACTTCTCCATTTCATCATCACACCATCTTGTGATAATTGTGAGCACAGAGTAAAATTTTTAACAGAGCATTTATAAACATATTTCATGCACAGAGCACACAACTAAATTCAGGATATCATAGAAGCACATTCAGAGTAGGCATTCAAAATTAAAACATCACATGCCTCCACACTGAATATAAAGCCAAGATTTCAGAATCTCAAACTGGATGACATTAATCATCAACTTACTAATAATCAGTAGCTTGATCATTACACTAAATATCTTCATATTTGTTCTAGTACTTGAAAATTCACTTTCAGAAGAAATTAAAATGGAAATTTCTGCAGGAAAAATTTGTACGAGACTTTATATATAATTAAATTACTTCTGTCATTCATGTGACACATATGTTGGCAGCCTCTGGTGAGAAAACGATCCGTCATACCCATTCCCATAGAACTGATGGCTGTCATAATTGGAACATTGGTATCTACATATATCAATCTGCAAGATGAATATGGGCTGCAGCCTGTAGGTGATATTCCAACAGGGTAAGTAAGCATAATCACACATCCAATTTACACCCTCATTAGGTGACAAACTTTACACAGATGTCATGAGGTTCAATTTACAGCAATGTATGTAACTGAAAGTGCTCATTGCTCTTATCAGAGAGCATGGCATGTCAGATACAAAAATGTAAACATGAAGAATCATGCAGATTTTGAGGTTATGAAGATTTCTGTCTTCTAAGATATAATGCTTTGCAGTTCATTAATGAACTTTCACTGAACTTCCGCATGAAGAAACATTCTCAGCAGACAATTATACACATTTCAAGTTTTCTTAGTTAAATATATGCACACTAGATGGCAATAACCTGTAGAAGAGAGGCGCTGGAACATTACAGTAAGACCGTGGCAAAAAATTCTTAAAACGTATCAGTAAAAGGACACTAAGGTACTGTATTTCTATACAAATTCTTACAGAAATTGCTTATCTCCAACAAGGAGAAGTGTCTAGCTCCAAACTGAGAGCAAGACTATAAGGAAGTTATGCTTTGTTACTATAGATTTATACCAAGTAACTTCAATTAATATTTGGATGCTGCATGTGTCTAATGATAGATATCCAAAGCTGGGTTTCTGAGCCTTTCCTGTGTTGTCAGTTAGTGGATAATTCATTTATAATTTATAAACAAGTAACTCTTTAAATGACTGATGAACATGTTTCAACACAGAGTGTTGATCACACCAAGTGATATCCTCATGTAACAATTTACATAACTGTCCTCAGGTTGCCATATCCAACACTGCCAGCCTTCACAATTTTTCCAAAAATTATGATGGACAGCTTCACCATCACAATGGTAGCTTATACTATCTCAATGTCAATGGCATTAATTTTTGCTCAGAGACATAATTATGAAGTGGACTCTAACCAGGAACTATTTGCTCAGGTATTGTAAAAAGTTTCAAACTGTTATACTGTCAGAATCTAAGAATTTGGAATAAAGATACATTAAAAGTTTCTTTCTTTCATTACATGAAGGATAGTTATAGAACCCTTTTTTGGAGGGGATACAGTGTTCTGTCCATTATTGATATTAATTGGCACCATCAGAAGCATCCTTAATTGACTTATAATTAATCAAATTTATGAAATTTAAGTTAAAAGCTTAATTCTTTCCAGCATGATCAGAATTTGAAATTTTCACTCTATAAACACAGTTTCTGATGTTTAAATACACAAATTTAGTAAACAAACATCATAAGAACATACTGAAGTTTTAATTTTAATAGAAACTTCCTATGGTAGCTCAATTGGTAGTGGTGGACTGTAGTGGCTCTAGATTAGCAGTAATAGAAATATGCATAAATAATTAAAATGTGCATAGAGTGTAAAATTAAAATTGTGGGATGTTGGCTTAACATGTTGATGGCTTCAATTACTGTCTCTTTCTGCAGAAACTGTCAAGAGTTACCTACTGCACTGACTTCTTCCTATCCACTAACAATTTCTTGAAGCAGAAACCCCCTTTGTCCTCAAAATTGCAATATAACAGTTATGTTTATGCTGTGGCAGGATGTGTGGACATCACTCACTTAACAGTGTCCCGCGTAGTTAAAAGTAATTTGATCTCAGAAGTGTACATGTCGTCATCTTGGTCTCATTGCTCCTTCACACCGACATGCTCAATGAAGGTGTCCAATTCTTGCAGATCCTCAGTGATGAGCTCGCTGCCATTTAGTTGAATGAGGTTGTCTACATCATTCTGGTCCACTTCAGGTTCCACTGATTTTTCAAGCAAGACAATTTCCTTATCAACAACAGTACCAAACACCTCAACTTGTCGAACTGCTTTAAAAAAGTTTCGATGCAGGGTTGAAGCAACAAATTGGTACTTTTTGCCATCCTGCCACAATGCTCATTACAGCCCCCACAATATTAAATTTCATCTTCCAGCATTACTTCCTTGTTATACCATCATCATCTGATATTGTTTCACGATATTTTTGGAAAGTTTTCTCAGTGTAGAGCCTCTAGAAATTTGAACGACTTCCTGATCAGTAGGCTGGATCAAAGATGTAGTGGTAGGCCACAGGAAGTGGAGGGAAATATATTAGTCAAAGTGGACACAAATTCATGGTCACTACCAGGTGCATTATTCAGTAGAAAAAGAGCCTTAGTTTTATCTTATTTTGGTCAATTTGGACTTCAAAGAGAGGCCCAGAAACACCATAAGACAGTTTGTAAAAAAGCTGCCTAGTCCATACCTTGTGGTTTGGCTTCAAAAAAATCTCCAGTGCAAAACTGACGACTTTTTGTTGCTTGGGAACACTTTTATTGTCAGAATGGTACAAAAGCATTGGTTTCAACTTCAAATCTTCTGAAGCATTAAAACAGAGTAAAAAGTTTTCTTAGTCTTATGGCCTGGCAAAGTAGTTTCATCCTTGATGATGCATATTCCCCTGGGCATTTTCTTGTAGAACAGACCAATCTCATCAACAGTGAACAGCTGTTGAGGACAGCCTCCCTCTTCCATCAATTTTACAAATTAAATCTTCAATTTCTTTGTGCCTTCTTTATCTGCAGTGGTAGCCTCCCCATGACTTACTAGAATTTTGGTAATTTAATTCTCTTCTTAAATTTTTTGAACAACCCCTTTCTGGCCTTAAACTCTTCAAAATGTGAGCCAGAGGATCAAAGGGATTTACATTTAAGTCTTCAGAAATTTCTTTATTTCTGTCACCAATGAATTTGAAACTTACAGATTAGCATCACATTTCTTTCTCATCAATCCACATAATGAAAATCCTCTCAATTGTTTCATTAGAGTTGCACAGAAATGGGAGAAATTATTTTATTTGCTCATTTAAGATTTACTCTGCTAAACTTTATAATGCTAAGGGAGGGGCTAATTTATTTAAATATACCTTATGCAATGCATTTTTTCATTTTCACATAATAAGAAAATTAACAATATTTCTTCTTATGCATTTTTTTTGCCTGGCTTCATAAAAATCAAATTTGAGTTTAAAATTCATTATTATTACTTATTTATCAACCTTACTTACTTACTTATGGAGCTGAGCCCTTCTTGAGGAGAAGCCAAATCTGCAGCTACTCAAGAATTTCCCAGCATTTTATGGAACCCAAAGGTTCATTACTGTGTTCATAAGAGCCCTCCACTGGTCCCTATCCCAAACCAGATCAATCCAATCCATAAAATCCCATCTTATCTCTCCAAAATCCATTTTAATATTGTCCACCCACCTACACTTTGGTCTTCTCAGTGGTCTCTTTCCTTCTGGTTTTCTCACCAATATCTTATATGCATTCCTCGTCTCCCCTTTCATGCTACATGCCTTGCCCACCTCATCCTCTTTGACTTGATCATTCTAATATTTACCAACCTACATGGAATAAATTAGATGAGATGGAATGACAATGAACTGAGAGAAATATGGAAGTGGAAATGGCCAATCTTATAGAATTATCCTGGCATTCACTTGGTGAGATTCAGGAAGCATATAAACAATTTCAATCATGACAGCCAGCATCTTGGCTGGGATATATATTAGTCACCTCCAAAATGAATTAGAATATTTACTGTTGCATCAACCCACTTGGTCCATTTTTACTTGCTTTAGGATATAGCACTGTTAATTCTACTGATATGTATAAACTAACTTCTAGGTGAAGAGTCCCTCTTCAGAATCTATTAGCCACTCAGCTGCTCAAAAAAGTCCTCACCATTTATGGAACCCAAGATTTATTAGAATGCTCAGTAGGGCCTACATCACAATATTATCCTGAACCAGATAAATCCACCTCACCCATCCTACTTCTTTTATCCATTTTAATATTATCTTTCCATCTACACCCTGGTCTTACATGAGGTTTCTATCATTCTGGTTCTCCAACCAAAATCTTATATTAATTTCTGATATCTCTCATGCAGGTTCCATGCTCGCCCATCACATCCTTCTTAATTTCATATTAGTTTACATAATTATTAGTAAATGTTATATTGTCATTACATAAACATTTTGTTGGTCTTATGGACTGGAAGTATGTGCGTACAAAACTAATTAAATAATTCATAAGCTCTGCTATCTAAGAAGTCATGATGACTTTATGGGAAACTGGCTTATATAATTTCTGTTTATATGAATTTGCTCCCTTTTAATATAGCTTTATCGATAGAACATTGTGCATCTTGTAAAAAACTATATGTCCTACACAGGGCACAAGCAATATTGTGGGATCCTTCTTCTCCTGCATGCCTATCACCGCATCACTCTCAAGAAGTCTGGTTCAGGAGACAGTCGGTGGCAAGACTCAGCTAACCAGCCTAATATCATGCCTGATTCTCCTCACTGTGATGCTTTGGATTGGACCATTCTTTGAGCCTCTACCCAGAGTAAATATTTATAAATACAGAATGGGAGTAATACCGTATACACATAAAGACACTGATTTTCATTACAACCATGAACTGAATGCAGCAAATCTCACATCTACTTTTCAAGTTATCTGTAATAATCATTAAATATTCATATTAAACAGTCGTTAAATATTCATATTACACAAACATTCATCTGAACTGAGAAAACCATAAAATATTACAACCTACTGTTTATCTTATGCAATATCTTACTCTATTAACTATTTGCAAGCTGAAGCTCACTTAATCATATACTTGAAAGTCAGTTCTTGTATCTCAGGAAACACATCACATTTCCATAAGAAAGAAAAGCCAGTTATTGCTGTTTAAGGAAACAATCACCATTTACTTTGAGAATTATATGAAATGCACAACTGTGAGGGTGAAGTTTTGTGTTATTTAATTTAAACCAAGTAATGTGCATATTTACCACTTCCCTATAAAGAGTTAACAAGGGTCAGCAGCAAACAAAATATATTCTATTGCAATCATAACATATGATATATAAACTTGGTGGAATGCTCCATTTTAACATAGTACTGGTGTTCAAACCGCCTCTAAATGATAAATAAACAAACCATTGATATGAGCACAACATCTGCATCAGGCCAATTTCTTCAAATTATTTTCCACCATTATTATTTTAATGGTGACTGGAATTATCCCCACTGTCTGAGTATTAAATACTATTTAATGTAAAGTAGTATTCCAGCAAACTATATTCTTATAAAAGGTTTGAGATTTTCACAAAGGTGAATATATATATATATATATGATGTTGAACCACCGCACAATGTAGAACACACCGTACACACCAAACGTGTATACGCCGAGACAAGAAACATATGCCACACTGCACGTTTCATATATATATATGACATATAGCGTGGGAATACCATACCAAATAACCACATATCACCAAACTTGCACATCGCTGAAAACGTCTCTTTGGGCCTCACATACTGGGCTTATTACGGAGAATTTCGGCAACAAGACCTACACAATACACATGCCCAAAGTTCTACACAGTAGCAGGATATATCCCTAATATAAATTATTTTAAATGGCATACATAACCCTAACCCACCTATTATATATATATATATATATTTAATACCTNTATACTCCAATTTCAGGCAAAGTTTTTATGTTAATATTCAATACGACGCGTTGCATTGATAAGGATTGGTATCGGTATTTTCAATAACTATACGTATTCCTACCTGATGATAGTCATGTATGACCGAAACATGTCGCACTAAATAAAGATCTTAACGTAATACTGAGATATTGTTGTGTTGACGGTAGCAGAGTTCCTACATATACCAGCATGTCAATATAAGTAACATTAAATGATGAATTTGGTTGTTTCAAGTAATGCAGAACAAGGAGAGATGTCTTCATGGAATTATGAGTTTTGTAATCACAGTACGCATATAAACGATTGCTTTCTTCCTTGATGAAATCATTGCACAGATTGAAAGAACTAAAAATGACAGAAGTTCTGTTGCAGTGCATACTGGCAAGCATTATTGTAGTGGCCCTGAAGGGAATGCTGCTGCAAGCCAAGGACCTGCCTTCCTTCTGGCGACTGTCTAAGTTAGATGGTTTGGTTTGGATCATCACATTCCTCACTGTGGTCCTTGTGGACATCGACTATGGTCTGCTGGTGGGGCTGGGACTTTCCCTTGCTTCTATTTTAGTACAAGGCATGAAACCCTACACATGTCTATTAGGAGCCATGCCAAATATGGATATTTATCTTGATTGCAACAGGTATAAAGAGGTAATTGTTCTGATTATACATTAGAATATTGTTACTATCATAAATGCAGTTACACTCTATTTATTTATTTATTTATTTCGTCTCTACAGATCATTCTTACATGATATAGGACAAGTAAACTTCAGGAAGTGCAGGATTAGTTGTGTAAAATTCTACAGAATACAATATACACAGGTCCCTTAAATTTCAGCTAAGCTACATATGCTTCATATCACATACAAATAAGATTCAGGTTTCACACAATGGCACTGTATGGTTTTTAATTTGCTCTGTGTCACTGAAAAAGACTTCCTTCTTATGTCACTGCATAGAACACTCTTCAAATTCATTTAAGCCTCAATAAAAATTTATATTTTTATTCTTATTGTTTCCAGCTCATTGATTCTGTTTCCTAAATGTCCCTTCTTTCAATTCATGAAAACTTGCTCATTTCATGTTTTCCTATTAATTAATGCACTAATCACATCCAGATTATACCACAGAATTCTGTATAGCCTCTCTTCATCTGATACCTGCATAACTTCATGATTAAAATTTTCTTTGTTGAATATTTGCGTTACCTTTTCTGACTGACCACTTGAAACAACTCTGATCTGCTAAACTGCTGCTGGATTTTGCCAGTACAGTCATTCTGGGTTTCATTTTCAGTTTTTGGTAAATTGCTGCTGATCTTCACCAGCACAGCCATTCCTGGTTTCAGGTCCCGTGGAACTCATGGCCATATTCATCCATCTCATGACTTCTGATTTCAGTTCTGGGTAAATTGCCGCTGACACTTGTCAGCATAGTCAATCTTGGTTCTGGGTTCCACGGGAGTAGAGACCATATTTTTCTGTCTTTAGACTCTGGGATCCATGCAACTACTACTGCCAGGGTTGGGTAAATTGCTGCTGGTCCTCACCAGTACAGTCATTCTTTGTTCATAACATTAATCACAAAGGAAAGAGTTTCGCCAGACTGGTGTATTTCTGCAACATTCCTTCTGCATACCATAGTCTTCTCCATCTCTTCAGAAGCATTTTCTCGAACACTTTCTTCTGCAGACTTTCTATAAGGATTTTCTGACAAATCTGCACCTCTATTTTCTTGCTCATATCTGCTTGAATTTGAGGGAACTTGGTTGTTAGAAATGCATGTACTTTCAGTGTGGAATGGCATACAGCAGGCAGGGATATTTACAGATGCAGTATCATTAGTTCGGGCTGACAATTTTGGCAATACCTCATCCTCTTGTAATGCTGCAATTACACTGCTTCTTTCTCAACAGTGTTCAAAACAAAATGAAACGTGTGCAGGACTAAAGGAAAAAATACCATGGTCTCTGAAGCTGTTCTCAACTTTACCTAGTTTGGCTACCCTCAGTTCTCTTAAATTAGCAAATGACATTCCTTTGTGGTACTGGTTCATTTGCCTGATTGGGGGGGGGGAAAAGGGCATCAGATTTTGTATGTATGCCAATTTCAAGGGCTCAAAAGAGCTAAAGCACAGAGACTGAAGCTTGTGTGATGCATGAGAAGGAAGGCTTAACATAGTTACACTGTTCTCTCTGTAGAATATTACTGCTTCCAGGCTGCAATGGAATGTGTTTGCCAAAAACAACTAGCAATGGGTCAGTTTCTATTGCCCTGATGTTATTTAAAAAATGATTCAGCTACTGAATGGAAAGATCTCTTTTCATATATCATGTATTAGACATCAGTGGTAGAGTTCCAGTGACAGAATACAATTCATCATACTTGTACATTCTTCTATTGCAAGGTATCTTAGCTGATGAGATAACAATAGAATTTCTTAACCAGTAAACAACAGTGACCAGTTGTCCACAATATGTGGACACAATTTTACCCACAAATTATCTGTCCTATTCTGCAATCATCCTAAACAAGTTACTGGGGTCAGTGCAGTAACCACTTTTATTCATGTTGAAAATTCTGTTGGGAAGGAAGTCGTGTGTCTAGGAAACTGTACATAAATTATCAGCAAATTTGTTTACAAGAACTCTGTTAAGACTGTAACTCTCTGAATGCTACACTTTCAGGTAAACATATAAATTCTGCCTTTGAAAAAACATATTACCCAGTCCTTTATTACTGTTTTCATTTCTCTGTAAAATCTATGATCAGCTCCATTACACTCTGGATACTGAAAGGCTAGTTCTTATCACATTCTAATTGTCAGAAAACAGAATTCGGTGATTACATCTTTTCAGCATTCAGCCACTCTTTCTCTTTCTCATTGAAAAAGCTAGCTCTGGAGAGGCCTAATGAAGTTGGCAGGCTCCATCCTTAACCCCTTTCTGAGAGTTGGCCTTCAATGATAAAACTTTTTCTTTCTTCATCTTCTAGACATCAATTAACATTCTTCAGTATTTTAGTGATGAATTTTATGATTTCTCTCTTTCCTTCTTTTACTTTCCCATAGCCTATAACAGAAGAATACAGTTCCAATGTTAGAAATCTCCCTTAAATTAACATAATACACAATTTTTATAATAACTAGTAGTGGTTTGGCTACAAGTGCACACAGTTTTACCCTGTGCACTCTTAGGCATGGATCATCTACTAGGCTCCTCTTCTACAGACACAGCTGACTGTGCTAAGCCAACTGCATGCAATGAGCCATCTGCAACCAGTCATACTGAATGTTGTCACACTGAAGCTACCAAGTACTTAGCAATAAATATGTAACAAAACCGCCATAACACTTGACTAGTAAACTTGATATTGCTATGTGTCTGTGCAACTGAGGTCGGTAACATACCAGCTGGTCTGATTGCTATCACCTGTGGTTGTAAAAGCAAACTTTCAATTGTACCAGTCTGAGAGGTCTTATAAGAAGTGATGGGATGCTTACAAACAAAAAGATTTGCATGCCACATACGACCACTCTCATGCAACCAGTTACGCATGGGAGAGCAGGCTGCTTTGGACTCCCCGTGTTTTACAATCAACCATGTTCGATACAATAAGAGTTTTAATAAATGGACAAATGGAACCCAGATTATTAGGATTATATATAACGTAACTTCCTTTCTGGAGCAAACTATTTTTATGCGATACAAGAACAGTTACAATTGTTCTGGCCAAAGCTGAAAAATTGCACTCACACTGACCACATTTGTCACATGAAGTTGATTATTCCCCCCAACTAATTGGTATAGTAGTCAACTAGCACATCTTGCATTCTGCAGGTGTATATCACTGAATTTTAGAAATGGCCACTGTGCACCCCACCCAATCTTACGTTATACTCAAAAGTTGATTAAAACTTCATTAAGATACAAAATAAATATCACATCACTAACTCCAAAAGAATAAACAGACATTCTAACATTACTAAACTCTACTTCATAACTGCACCTGCTGTTATATTAATATTAAAAAGTCAATTCCTGAACCAGGTTTCTTGTTCCCTCTTCATAGTAAAAAATCACTTCTTCACGGTAAAATAAAAAAATGTCCCTTCTTGTGAGTATATCTCTCAAATGATCTAAACTCCTACAGTGTATTGCAGTTCACTTTATGAACATCGAAGCCAAAGGACTCATCAAGGAAACAGAGTTGAACATGTACATTCCACAGCCAATGATTCACAATGATTCTTATGTGACACCAACCCACGAGAAAACAAGGTGTCATAACACAGAAGGTCACATAATCCAGATTTCTGCACCCATGACAATTCAGATCTCATCTAATATTCCAAGTAATAGTGTCCTTTATATTATGCCTGTGTCCTTTAAAAGAATCTGGCTAATCCGAATATCTGTTACATGTTTTGTGATATAGAACTATTTTACAGTAACAGGTTAACCATATGTTCAACTGCTAAGTTAGGTAAATAACCACCTGTGAGTTATTCACATTCATAGCTAACCTCCATGGAGGCTACCTCCTCCTTTCACAGCCCAAAGTACATCATGTGGCATTGATCAGGGATGGAATCATTGTCTCACAGTGTGCAATCAAATGCTACTAGTATCTAGCATGAATATTCATCTTTGGTCTACAGAAATGTGTTGTTCATGACTAATTAAATTTTAAAATATATACACATTTATCACAATTGCAATAACTTTTCCTTAAATACAATTTCTGCATGCCAACAAAACACAGTCGAAGTCTGATGATTTATGAAAAGGTGATGCAAACCAGTCAGCCCACTAAGACAAATCCCAAATCCTCCTTTCAACCCTGCTGGTACAGGATATTATAAAATGTTTTTCTTTCAGTCTCGAGAGATTCCAGGAATTAAAATTTTCCATTACTGTGGAGGACTAAACTTTGCAACAAGAAGCCACTTCACGAATGAATTGTATCGGCTTGTGAGCGTAAACCCACAGGTTGAGTTGGCACGTAGAAATAAACTGGAGAGGAGTCGAACCTCAGGTTGGGTCAACAGTACGCCAGAAGAAGCGAGGGTAAGGACAGAGAGCAAACGATATTAATGCTTCAATCTCATCATTCCATACTTAGCAATATTATTTTTGTTTCGTTTTAAATGATGCTGTCATTATCTCTGACAATATATCATAAAATGAAAGGATGATTAGTGAATAATGAATTGGAAAAATATATGGAAGGAGGCTGTCACTACGCAATTTTATGAATATTGTGTTCTGGAATTTGCCTCGAATGACAGAAAATTCATGAATACCCTCAAGGATGGAAGCCGGTATCTGGGCTTGTTAACAATACCATAGTGGCTGCAATGATTATATAGTGTGAAACAAAAAATTTGAAGGGGATTATGAATGGTGCATTTGAAAGGAGTGGAGTAACAAATGGATGTAGCTTAGTTTATGGTATTTGCTTCAGAGTGACCAAGGAATATCACAAAAACCAAGAAAGCAAAACTGCTTCTTATCAACATTAGTAACAGTTCCTTCTGAATAGGCATAAAATGTTCAGTGAAGCAGTACTGTAAAAACACATACCTGGATTCTGCATGAAGAATGACAAAACTGGGAGCTTCAATGCAGCCTAATCAATGCAAAGTCAAAACCTATCACAAAATGATTTTAAAAAACAAAACTGCATAACAAACATTAGATACAGCAAGCACTAAATTCATTTTTATATGATTTAAAATATATTACTGATTGCATCCATTAACACTCCCACCCAAACTTTGTATGCTATCTACCGAAATTCACAGAATTGCAGACATAAATATACTTCAGATATGCATATTTAATAATAGTTTTTAACACAGGAACACTACACTAATAACACTTCCTCAAAACTTCATACATATTCATTTTGCTTTCTTATTTGCTGTCATTAGGAAAAATCCTCAATTTCTCTGCATTGCCAAGATACAGTACCTTGCTTTATTGTTCACATGCTTACTTCTAGTTCCTGTCATATTTCCATTTGCAGTAGCTTGAAACACTGAAATATCATCTTCAGACATTAAAAGTTGTCCCTCTCTTATCAATTGTGGACATAAAAAAAAAAAACTCCGTAGTTCTAGTCCGCAAACGAACCATACTGACTGATCGACCACCGCTTGTCAGCGAAGTTGGTGCCAATTATGGACAATACTTCTACAGAAAAATAAGAGTCCAAGAATATATTATATTTTTTATAAGAAATGCAATATTACAAGCAAATTTGCTTCTGTACAAGAAAATCGTTTGTATGCTTCAAGGTCAAGGAAGGTGGAGCTATACCTTCACTCACCCATTTCTTCATGGCACAGTTGTTAACTAATCAAGCACATGGACAACTTTACCTTTATCATCTTTACCTTACTAAATCAACAAGTATGTTCTCATAGAACGTGCACTTGTGAACATGAGTAATTGCATAAATGGAGCACACGAAGTTAAATTTCTCATGTCACTGACAGATGTTTTCAGACAATAATAAAAAACTCACATTTCTTGTCATACTGCATGAGATGAACCTGAAACTCTTCAAAACCTACAAGCAACACAAGAAATTTTATTTCAGATACCTCCTTCATATATAGATGTAATTTGGTTTTTCTGTGTAAAGGGAAAGAAAATGATATAATCCTTATGTCAAATGATAATAAGAAGAAAATGGAACAAGAAAATGATTGTGAACTATATAAAATCTTATATTAAAATGCAGTGAAAGAAGTCATATTTTCACCCAGCCAAATGAAAAACACAACTCTACAAGTAACAAGGTCTTACCAATGACAGTTTCCAGCTCTATGCCATATAAGTGTCGGAAAATATGAGTATAAATACCGAAATCACATATTTTGAATTGAAACTGCAACCTTCTTCTGAAGCTCAGAAAGAAGTGTTAAAAGAGTAAGATCTGCATGTCCAATAGTTTATAAATATAAATTATAATAAATAATTTCCCATCTCTATGTTTTACAGTGTGTCTGACAAAAACATTCATATATACAATTGTTATATTAACAAACGTAAAGTTATCCCTGGGCATAATTAATTAACCACAACATCATGAAGACATATGGGGAAGTGAAGGTATAACTCCACCATTCCTGACCTCAGCTATATATAGAGGTAAGTGGTCTGTTTCATGGCCCAGCTACTTCACCCTCAATGAACCAGCCCTCCAGTACCCACTGTACTACGTAGTTCAGGTGACTGGTGGGTCCTAGATCTGGTCTGGAGGTTATGACATTATGGAGAAGGGAAAAATCTCTCACCTTTACAGGGAGTCAAACTGTCATTCCTCGGATGTCTAGCCTATAGCCTAATCACCATACCAACTAAGCAATCTCAGCTTCCATTACTACATTAACATAAATAACATAATAACGAAGGTGCAAGCAGACTAATGTCAGAAATAAACTCAGCTATATGACATTAGTCTGTCTGCACCTGCTCTCACTGTTTCTTCGCTTGTGGATTTTCTTATTTTTCCTTCTATCCTGAAGACGGAGGCGATACGTTCCTCCGAAACGTCGGTTAACACCACATTTTCATGGCGCCACATCCCAGAAGACTACTTTCTTCAAAGTCACCGCTGTGAAAACCTCAAATCTTACCTACAACTCAAGTTTAACAATTGTTGGTGAATTCTATCACACACTATGATAATACTGAATGATGTAATTGTACTAAAAATGCAGCAGAAAGCTCTTCATGAACACCCCTCTGTCTTAAAGTTTAGGCTGTTATGCAAGACAATATCTTCCAGCTCAACCATCCACACTGGAGTCCAGATCACTATTTCTATTCAGATTTCTAAGACATTTCTGTGGGAGAACAGATTTACAGCGCTAATAAACTGAACAGTACAGGTTCTGTTCAAGAAGTTCTCCTTCAAAAGAATCAAAATGGATCATGTGTGTTATATTGAACAGTGACAATATTCAATAATAAAGCAGGTTTAGTTCATGCTGGGGTTAACTTAATAAACAACCTTTTATATTAATAATCCATATAGTGCATATCAGGTTTAGTTATTCCATTTAAATGGTTTTTCTTGTGCAGGAAGGTATTGTTAATATCAGCTTTGTGGAGCAAAGTGAGGATCATGTAGATGAGCCTACTGTGAGCACACCCATCAGACCTCAAGCCTCTTCATATGGAAGCTTTACTGAGGAAGTAAGTCCACTAACTACAAAACCTGGGAAGTAATCAGTCAGCAAATGTGTTTTTCATTTCAGGCAGTGCTGAAAACACAACTAAGAGTATATTTCTCACTGTTCCCATTTTAAAATTGAAGTTATTAAACATACTTCATTTAACAGTATACTGTATAGTAACAGCTTCCTTTGAAATTTCACTTTGATGTTGAAAGATTCCCATTTTACATTCTAAAATATTACAATCATTTTTACTTTCCCCTCTTAATTTCTGTGACTGAAAGATATGTTACTTGTATTAACTCACAAATTTCAGAATGAAAAAGAGCAGAGAAGAAACCCACAAAAAATAACTTCTGTGGGAATGAATGCATGCATAAGGGGTGGAACACAATTATCTGGCCCATCCACTGCAACCTTCAATGGTCTATTGTGCTCAACTTTTATAGAAACAAATTGCAATAACAACTTTCTGCAAAATTTTAATATCAGTTCACAATTCTGTCACTCAGTAGTTAAGCCTCTTATTTAACTGATACCACCTATGCCCCATCACTTTCCATTCTGCCACGTGATGCTCTTATCTTCTACTACATTTCTTTTCTTTTTAGATTTATATTATGTTTGTTCTTAACTTCATGAGTTTCCCTTAAATTCTTCATAATTCTGCTATTTAATTCAGTTGTTTTATGGCCAGAAACTGCAGATCCGATACATTATCTTGGACTTCTTGGCTCTAAGTTACATTGATCCTTCTGGTGTGAATGCCCTCAAGTTGCTCAATGAGGCCTTCAGCAAGATTGACATCACCATTTACTTGGCTGGAATTTCAGGTATATATACTTATATTAATTTAGGGAGTTAGCCACTGGAATTGTCTCAATTCTGTGGAATAAAATGTGTTTGTCACTAAAAGACACAGGAAGTCATAGGAGTCTGACACAAAGTGAATAAAACAAAAGGTCCTTAAAATCATAGACTGAGAAGTTGCCATGTCATGAGGACACAAATCTGCACATACGTATAAAACAGGGCTCATCCCGAGACATGGAAGATGCAGACTGAATCCTATCTTAACCAGTAAGTGATTATGATGTCTCTATATGTCATGCATATTTCCAACTACACCACTGTATAAATGACACTCAGCAATGCAAATCTGTACTTTGTGCTTGTTAGATCTTATAGTTAATTCAAAGTGTTATAGGATGGTGCTGAGTGCTTGATAGCTGTCCTGGGTTTAAGTTTAGGTCCTAGCAAGAAGTTGCACGTGAGTGATGAAGAGGTGTTAAGTGAACTACTGCAAGAGAAAAAATGTAGTGATATTTCTGAGAGCAAATGCAGTAGTGACATGAAATAAATGTGAAAGTTTTGTCATGGGGTGAACAGAGTCGGCTCCGATGAAGAAGATAATGTCAGTGGCAGCAGTAGCATGCTGCATGGCATATGTGCAGACAGGTGCTGAGCAACTACATTTTCTATTTACTGGAAAATCTGGCCTAAATACTGATTTGGGAGATCCCAGTATGCCCTGAGTTGTTTTGTACACCAGAAATTGTAGAACAGCCAGAGAAACAAACCGGTATGCCCATAAATTTTTAGAAAACATACCTAAACTAAAACTAAGATCTAAGGCCCATCACTGGAAGGAGATGAACAGAAATGAAATAAAAAGTCACTGGCATTCCTTCTGTTACAAGGACTTCAACCAAAACCTGATAACAAGAGCTATTTTTTCCTGGAGGAAAATTCTGGAAATGCCCAGATGTTTGGACATGTTCAGTGAGAAGAGGTGTCACCTTCTACTCAAGTTTCTTCATTTTGTTGACAATGGAAAGGGTCAAAGTCGTGAAACATGGTACAACTGCGAAAACTGTAGGGTGGGCCCTGCGTGCTGCACGTTTCCTACGTTACCATATGGCGCCCAACTTCTAGAGGCGTGAAAGGCAATCGAGGTTCTACAAGTTAAGAAGATTCTGAGTGTAAGATTTTGTTGGCTATAAATTGTACCATGGGATGGTATTGAAAATTACATCATAATTACAAAGACCTTCATGGTATGTGCCATTGGAGTTGCAACGTTACCAGTGGTTTAATCGTTTTGATGATGATTTTGTGGTCTGCACACGATAACGATTTTGCAGTAGATGTTTGGAAGAACAAATAGCTTTTGTTGCACAGTTCATTCATCCATAGTGGTGAAAAAGTACAAATTCATTCAACATGGCAATAAGAAGCATCTGTTATCAATGAGTCAGTCAGAACTGTAAGAGGTCACAGTGAAATGTCGCAATTAATCAAACGTTTGTCTATTTAGGCTCAAGGAGATTTTGTCAGTCAGCTTTCTATGATCATGTTAAATCTCCAAACACCAGACTCCGGTCAGGACTGCATATACTGAACGTGCATGAGTCAGACATGCCTTTGTGATCACGTATTGGGAACTGAAATGCATGTCAATGGCAATAGTAGGGTACTTTTTGAGAATAAAGCCAAACGTATGGATTTTACTAAAAATTGTATACGCGGACTTTACTGTATAAATTAAAATACAGATATATGAACTGGTGTATATGGGGTGTCCCAGGATGAATGGACCAAACTTCGGGAGGGTGTTCCTTATGTTAAAGTATGCCGATATAAGCCAAAACACCTTTCCAAAGTTGAATGGTTACGGATGTAATGGCCCAAGAAAAGTGTGGCCTTCTGGCGGGTCCAAGCACTGTACCTGTCAGCTGAGACCTCGTTATCTGTTTGTCCTTGAGTGCAGTGATTCACACTAGCCGTAAGCTGGTGGCTCATATGCTACCTACAGAGTAGGTTGTGGCAGCGTGGTGAATGCTTGGTAAATTAGTTGTGTGGAGTTGCTGAAATGAATTTGTTTTCACACGTTGAATATTGTGATATGCATTTTGTGTATGGATTTTGCGGTGGCAATGCACGTGCTGCTGTTGAAGAGTACCAAAGGCGTTTTCCCGGTCGAAGGATTCCATCTCGACGTGTATTTACGCGAATTCACCAGACACTGCATGAGACTGGTTCTCTTCCGAGTGTTTCTGTGCAGTCAGAAAGGGAGGATGTACAAATGAGAAACACACGAGAGAACATTCTTGAGATGGTTCAGAGAACTCGGCGTCTGTCCACTCGTAGAACGACCTCTTGCATCGGTGTATCACGTATGCAGGTGTGGTGAACTTTACATGATGAAGAGTTGTATCCTTACCATGATCAAAGAGTACAACATCTGGAACCAGGCAACCATGCTCAGCGTATGGATTTCTGCCACTGGATAAAAGCTCATCCTGAACTGTTAAGCGTCATTTTATTCAGTGATGAGGCGTTGTTTACCCTGGACGGTGTAAATAATTTACGAAATATTCATACGTGGTCCCATAATAATCCACATGAGATAATAGAAACGAATTCCAAAAGAGATTTTCTGTGAATGTATGGTGTGGTGTGCTTGGGAACAGGTTGATCGGACCTTTTGTGTTTCACAACAATTTAACTGGAAACACGTATGGAGCCTTCCTAAGGAATGAGTTACCATGTTTGTTGGAAGACATCCCGTTAACGATAAGGAGGCAAATGTACTTCCAACATGATGGGGCTCCTCCACATTACACTCAGCATGTGAGACACTACTTAGATGAATCCTTCCCTAGCTGCTGGTAAGGTCGTGGTGGTCCTGTTGCATGGCCACCGAGGTCGCCAGATCTTACGCCTCTAGATTATTGCCTCTGGGGCCACATGAAGACCTTAGTCTATGAAACTAAGGTAGATTCACGAGAAGTACTGCGGAATCGTATTTTTGCAGTGGCAGAGCACATATGCCACCATTCAGGCAACATTGCTTCTGCTACCCAATCCCTCATGATGCATGCCGAAAACTGCATTGCAGCTGGCGGAGGACATTTTGAACAATTACTATAAAGCAGGTACTGTATTTTAGTACTTATGTAATTGGCTTATAGTAGAATGCGCAGTCAGTCATGTTACGTCAGCGCTTGCCATTCATGTGTCATGTATAGTGCTTGGAAAC